CTTAGAAGATTTCTTTCATAATAGATCTTCAATTATTTGTTTCTTGCTAATCTCTGAAATAATTTTTTTACCTACAATCCAAATCTCATTTATATAAAATTTATATCATTTATGATAATTCTAAAGTATTTTACTACGGTGTAAAATATCTGTCCATGATTTGCACAAGAATTTTAAATCGTCTCTGTTCATATATGTACTTATGTGATGTCAGACTTGCATATTACTTTGAGACAGTGGCTGGTGTTTTAAAGCTGTCTATGTAGTGGGAAAGTTGTGCAGCAAAATGTTCATGCTTTTTATTAGTTGCTCTTGGTTCCTCCTATATTCAACTTCTTTCCCAATTTTAATGTATGGTTTTCTGCTTCTGTACCAGAAGAGGCTTCTCTATTTGACATTTGATTAAGTTCCAATTCTCCAAAAGCCTCTTGTTGATAACATTAATTTTAAATTCATTTAGCAGTTTTCCTTTCTTAATGGCCAACTCTAATCTTTGACATGATTATTTAATCTACCTGTCAACATAGAATGCTCAATGATAAATCACTGGTGCTTTTCTATGCACTGTCATATCATATTCCAATTGGTTGGCTTAAAAATAGAAGCATATTGCATTTTTCTTCATTTCTTGGGTGCATACTATAAACTTTCTGGGTAATTCTGTCATGGCCATTCATTGGCTTGGGTCCACTGAAACAATTTGAATTATTACACTTTGACAGTTTGTCACATTGGTTTTTGTGGTTTAGATCCTGGTTCCCTTCCCATTTTCTAACCATGAATTTGACCTTTGTTGAAAGCATTGTTGGTTTTTTGTTTGTTTGTTTGTTTCTTGGTTGAAGCAAAAAATAACTTCAGGACAAGCTGATAATGAATTCACTTGAGGCCAGAATCAGTAGTGATTACCAGCAGTGTTGGAAAGTATGTGCATTTACACACAGGTAGTGAAAATTTTATTTTAATTTAAAGTTTTAATTCCAGTGTCTAATTATTATTCAATCTATATCTTTATAGCTTAGAACTATACTTGACATGTAAGATATTTATTATACAATGCACCTTTACCCAACTCTGTTTCCTAATGACATCAAAAGTTCAACATTTTTAAGACTTATCATGTTGAGTTACTTTCAGAAATGAGTTATTTATGTAAAATTTTAAAAAACTAAGCATTGAATGAATTCTAGTGTACTAAAAATAAAACTATGATAGATGCATAGAATAATGAAAAGAGCTGATATATTTCAAAGGATACTATTTATTGTCTTTCACTTGTATATGATACTCCCTCTGGTTAACTCAGGTGTTCATATCACTCACACCAACAACACTTTAACTTTTTAACACTTCTTAATTCCAAAGTGCAGTTATGAAAATAGTCTTTTGCTTGATATACAATCTAAATCAATATTCTTTTCCATCAATACCATTAATTCATTTAAATAATACTAGGAGTTTTAACTAGATTTTAGAAAGAAAAATATGTTTAAACAGCTTTTTTTTCCTCCTGAAAAAAGCACTCAAGTAAAGAAATTATCCATTTCTAAAAGTTTATCATTTCCCCACATCTTTTGAGCTGGTGAATGGCATTCTTTAATTGTTACATGATATTGAGAAAATTACTTATTTTCTATTTCTAGTAGCAATGTCTAGTTGTTCTTTAAAAATGTAAGTGTATGGTTTGTTTTGAACCTACCCAACTATTTCTTTATTACAAACATTCATTTAAAAAAAAAAAACAGAAACAATTTTCTGTCTTACCATATTATTTCAATTCCTAAGGTAGTTTGCAGCTAGAAAACAAATAGTAGGTCTTTCAGTCTTTTCAGAGTTGTTTAAAAATTATATACTAGAAGTTTTCATAAACACTTCATTTAGGCCAAAAATAATACAGTAAATAAAGTTTTTTTGTTTAAAATATAACCCTAAGTATAAATTAACATATGTATTCATAAAAGTTAAGCATATGTGTGTATATACACACATATATATATGTAATAGTACCACCAAATTGTAACAATCTACTATTTACTGTGAATGGTACTAGGTACTTTATTATCTACTTCATTTGATTATTTTTTTCTTTTGTGCTAATAGAGTAAGCAGATTAATATTTCATTTGTTCTTAAAAGCCATATTCAGCTTAATATGTCTGTAGAAATTAAAACTTAATAATCTGCTTATCTTATGTGAAAATTTATTTTGACTGATTATATTTATAATTTTTGTCAATTTAAGATTTTTATGTTATAAAATGTGTGTAAAACTAGGACAAAATGAACAATTTTAATGATTCTATTGAATTTAATTAAAGTTGCAGTTTAAAGATTTGAAAGGCATTATTAATATGGTAATGTTGCCCAAGATAGTTCAACTCTGAGTATTTACCTACCAGACTGTTTTTTTTTTTGAAACAGAGTCTCTCTGTTGTCTGGGCTAGAGTGCCATGATTGACAACTGACATCAGCCTAGCTCACAGCAACCTCATACTTCTGGGCTCAAGTGATCCTCCTACCTCAGCCTCCTGAGTAGCTGGGACTATGGGTGAGTGCCACTATACCCAGCTAATTTTTTCTGTTTTTATTTTTAGTTGTCCAGTTTTGTTTTTTTTTTTCCACTCAATTTTTAAGCAGAGACAGGGTCTTGCTCTTGCTCTTGCTCAGGCTGGTCTTGAATTCCTGACCTCATCAGCCTCTCAGAATGCTAGGATTACAGGTGTGCACCACCACACCCAGCCCTAATAGATGTTTGCAAGAATCAAAGTTTAATTACACAGATAACTAAAAACAAATATTTCAAAATGTGTTTCTCTTATAAAATACATAAGTCAAAGGTTCAAGCGTAATCAAATGATTATTAATTTGTTTCCCAAATTTCATAAATACTGTAATATTCATTTTATCACATGATGCATGACACTCTATATTTTTGCCTTCACACAATTTAATATGGGTATTTTATTCTCTTTGTTTATTCTGAAATTACTGTTTAAAAGAATATTATATTTGAGATGCAATATATGTTAATGAAAAACATTTATGGGTAGAGCAAAGAAGCTCATAAATAGATAAAGGTGTTGCTAACTGTTTTGAAAAGAAAGAAACAGACACCATCACAGACAATAAGTGGAGTTACTTACTTAAGGATTAGACCCAATGTAAAGATTTAGACAGAGTCTCTAAAGTATCTCAAAGTGTATTTGTAATTGATCTCTATCAGCAAACCTTTTGGTAAATTTCTGACCTGATGCTAATTTCTGGCTGTCAGGTCTTAAGTAATACAGACTTTTGGGAACTCTTGCCATAACCCTGATGGAAGTAGTGAAAGGAGTCATAATACTGGAAAGGATTAAAGAGCAATGCAAAGATCCAAGAAATGTCAAGGCCAGAAGAATACCAGTGTATTGAGTTTAAGTAAGGAGAGCAGAACTGAGAAGGTGGATGTCAATGATAGGTTGTTGTATTAGTCGGCTCAGGCTGAGTGGATTAAATAATCAAAATTTATTTTCACATATTTCTTGATGCTGGAAGTCTAAGATCAAAGTGTTATTAGGCTTGGTTTGTCCTAGGTTGCTCTCCTTGGCTGGTAGAAGGTTGCCTTCTCACTATTCCTCATATGGCTTTCCCCCGTGTGTTCACATTCCTGGTGTCTCTTTCTCTTTTTACAAGGACAGTAGTCCTATTGGATTAGGACTCAGCCCTGATGACCTCTCTTAATCTTAATTACCATCTTAAATACTCTATCTCCAAATACAGTCATATGGGGGTTAGGGCTCATTCAGCGGTTGTACTCTCAATAGAATCTCAACACCAGTTTAATACTAAAATGCATATCTGCTACAAGGAGCAAAGCCAGTAAGCAAGAAAAGGAAATTATGTGGCCAATGGAAAGCCAGGGATTTGGAAAGGGCTAGAATTCATGCCCTTTATGAAATTTTGGTCTAAAAATCTCTAAATTAAAAATATCCCTGCTAGTCTTCTCAACTGACACTAATAATCAAAAGGTCACTGTATATTCATTTATCCCAAGTGCCTCCATTAGTTCTTTTTAATAAACAGATTAACTGTCCCAGTCACTGTGGCAATTTAATTGAAACAATCAAAGCTTTCAGCAACCTGACAGAGGAATGGCCGTTTCTATGGAAAGTTAACAAAAGCACAAAACAAAACAGAAAAGTTCTGAAATGCCTTTATTCTTCCTTCACATAAACTCAGTCTCAAAATGTATTTTAGGCACTATAAAACAAAATAGACAAACATGCAAACGTGTTTTTCAAAACTTGATTTTGTTAGTAAGAATCTTTGGCTTAACCGAAATTCATTTATCAGATCGATTTGAAGAGTAGAGAATTAAAACATAGGTTTACTAGAAAGGAAACATCAGTATGAGATAGACTGTGCCTACTTTTTCTTATGATAGCTGAAACACCCAGTATTGCTACAAACTGGGCATGTATAAGTACTGTTGAATAAATGACTGAGGTTCAAATGGAAAATACTAAAAACATGCTATCCATATGACTTGTACTCTTCTTTATAAATATTTACCAGTATTTTTAAAATCAAATCAAGTGAGTGAGTATGTGGCTCCCAACGTAGTACCTGTCTCTTAAGGGAGCTGCCTTCATTTTGGAGTCATCCCAGAGGCATAAAAGATTGTTTAAAAATTTCTACTAAACATGGGACAGAGTTGGTACCAACTTATCACATTCACTCATGCTCAAAATGACTATGACTAATGAATAAAAGTACCTCAGCCTCTGAATATGGGTATTTTGGGTATAAATGACCTGTATGTTGACTACAAACTTAGGTGTACTCAGGTTCAAATCCATGTTCAGAGGAGTCACCCCAAAATGAAACACCTTAAATGATATTTTCTATATCTCAAAATCTATTAGGATCTGGAATATTTTTTTTAGTTTGTCTTTATATTGAGAGTTATTCATAAAAGCATTTGTGAGGAAGTAGCCTAAAAGGGAAATACGAGGCATTACTTACAGTTTACTAGAGATGTATATGATGAAAGTATCCTTAAAAAGTCTGCTCCAATTGGATCCTGAGACCAGGTGCTTATGATAGGACTTCTAACGAAGAAGACCTGTAACTCACAGGACAATTGAGGATAAGTATCTCTGTCTTCGTGAATTAAAGGAAATAATGAGACCATCTAAATATGAGGCATTATATAAGAAAAAAAAAAAGAATAAAAACAATTAAAAAAAGGAAAAACAACCAAAGCTCTACACCAAGAATGGTGTGAATGACAGTGTTACACAATTCTAGAAGCTTGTCATTATCCTGGGGTTCTCTGTAATGTATTTTGATTTTGGCCCATGTTTCCACAATGTGATTTCAGAAAAAGAGCATATGTGCTACTTCTGGGGGAAATCAAATGTATAGTGTCTCAGCACTGTACACAACTGGCCCTGTCTGCTTGTATAATTTTGAATAACTGGTCTTTAAGGCAAACTATTCCTCTAAAACCTGTGCTTATGTATGTGTGTGGAATCACATCATAGAAACAGGATAGAGTTATGTTGAAAACATTCAAGTAACCTGCATTTACCATCTGAATTGGGAAAGTCAAGTATGGGAGTATTGAAGCAAGAGAAGTAATATTAATCTATACTGAATTTTAAAAATGTAATAATGCAAGTAAACTGTTAATGGATTAAAAAGGCTATTCGTAGGATGGATAATATCACCTTCAAATTAGCCACAGAGATGTTTTCTGATGTTAGTTTATATGCCAGGTATAAAAGCTTTAAGCACACTAGGACCTGCTAAGAATTTCAAAATAAAAGAGGGGAAAAGAAGAATAGAATAATTTAAAGGTTATATAGAGAAATAATTTATACACAGGGTTATGAGATATAATAACAAACTATACTTTTGTTTCAAAATCAGACATTTCATATTTAATAACAAATAATAAAGGCTGATGAACTGAACCAATGAATATAAAAACTATAAATTGATGTTTAAAAATATGCTTCAACTCGCAGCTAGTTGTGACCATGTGACTCAGTTTTGGTAAATAAAATGAAAACAGAGTATAATAAGGATTCTGGAAATTTTTCTGCTTTTCTAATAAAGTAAATAGACTTGACTATTGCTACCCCTTCTGTTTCATCCTAACTTGTGCATTGATCTAATATCTGGAGCTAGATAATAATTTTGTAATCAGGAAGGAAAGAATAAGTTGAGGGGACTCAGGAAGATACTTTCTCTGACATAATTAAGGGGCTGGACCAAGGTCAGCACCTCTGTGACTCCAGACTTAGCGGATCATATTCCTATCTGATAAAAGCTTTGGCTAGAATTTGTTATAAATGGAGATAAAATGGACAAACCGTTTTGAAGGTACTTTGGCAACATTTATTTTGAATCTTTGTAGAAATAAAAGATATGTAAGCATCGATAGTATACTATAAATTCAGTATTCTCTGATACAGAGAAAACAGTATTGGTGAAAGCTGATTCAGTTGTCTGACAAAGTATGTTGAAATACCAACAACTTTACTTTCTAGCCTTGGGACCATGGGGAGTTTAATAGCTAAAGGTGCCTTAGGGTCCTCTGTGGTTACTAGTTGTATCTACCTCATAATGTTGGGCCAGATTAAATGTGTAAAGCATGTAAAACAAACAGCAGAATGCCTGTTATAGAGTCAGTACTCAATATTTTTGATTTATGGTATATTCATAGTTAAATATTCTATATTGATTATCTTATAGACAATATAAGGTTGAATAAATTAAAAATAATGAGAATTTCTTTAAATTAAATCATACTGTCTTTTAACAAAATTTACCTGATTCTGTAGGCATTTATTAGGTGCTTACTAAGTATCTGGAGTTCTACCAGTTGCTAAAAACCCAGAGATAATTGGAACATAATTCTTTCAGAAAATGTGAAGTAGTAAAGAAGGTAAAGATGAAAACAGAGCACAGTAAATGCTAAAGTGTAGGTATAAAAAAAGGTGTGGAAGGAGTAATGAGAGAAGTGTATTTAACTCTCCTGCATATGCCAGGGAAGGCCCATCAGACATTTGTACTGAGTATTAATGAAAATTTAGGATAGCAGGGCAAAGGAGAAAATGACATTTTAGGCAGAGAAAAAGAATATATAGAAGCCCAGAGAGATGCACAACACAGTGATACGGTCTGGAGAATAAAATCATTTTTGACAGAGGCTTATGTGGTGAAGTGGCAAGAATGAAATAGAACATAATCTTGCAGTCAGATTATGAAAGTCCTCGGATAGCTCTCAAAGCTTGCTTGGATTTCAAATCAGTACAAAGAGTGGTTTTTAAATTATGTCTCACAGAATCTATTTATTCCACAGAAGCCTCTTAGAGCTGGCCTCTAGATCATGTGAGAAAAAGGAAAAACAGGAGAAGTTTTAGGGTTCACTCCTCAATTTAACCAATTGCTGTATTTTTTTTTTCTGTTAAAAACATATACACATCCTTATGTATAACTGGATATTCATACATGATTACTTCTAGAAAGAAGAGAATGCTGTCAAAATGTAAAGGTCTGATCATTAAATGACATGGACATATTTTAATATATTTTATGTAAAAGTTTACCCTGGCAAGGATGCATGGGATGTTCTTGGGAAGAATGTCAATAATCGACCTGAAAAATGATATAATGTGACCTGAACTAAAGCTCTGAAAATGGGAATGAGTTGGCAGTTGTGATAGGTATGAGAAATTGAATCAATAGTCTGGTGGACTTAACGCAAAGATCTTCAAAAATTTTTTCCTCATGCCTGCTAAAAATGATTTTGAGATACTTTGATCTATCTTTATACGTTATTACACTGATTTCTATTTTTTTGTTTTGAAATTTGTTTGTTAAAAATATAATATCTGGCATATTTATATAAAATTAATATTTTTATTTATTTATTTTTATTTTTAAGTTAAGTTAATTAATATTTTTTAAGGACAGGATCTCACTCTATCACCCAGGCTGGAATGCAGTGGTGTTATCATAGCTCACTATAACCTCAAACTCCTGGGCTCAAGTTATCCTTCCACCTCAGCCTCTCAAGTACCTGAGACTACAGACAAATGTGAATATGCTCTGCAAAATTTAATTTTTTGAGAGAGAGAGAGAGGTCTCACTATGTTGCCCAGGCTGGTTTCCAACTCTTGGCCTCAAGTGATCCTCCTGCCTCAGCCCCCCAAAGTGAGTATTACAGGAGTGGGTCACCTCACCTAAAAAAGTTATTTTAAGAGAGACTATTCAGTACTATACATATATCCAGTAGAATCTAAATTCCATAGCAAATTGATTCAAATCATTATTCATATAAAATGCATTAAAATCTATTCCTTTAACTGTGGTAAATTTTATCTCATTACTATTATTCTTTGAATTTATTTTAATAAAAATATATATTTGAAACTCTTTCATTGGCCACTGTATTATATTTCTTTCCAATTTTGAAATTTGCATCAAAACTTTGGGATTCTCTTTATTTTTGGTGGCCATGAAATTCTGTTAGATTTTACAGAATAAAATATTTTGTCAAGAATAAATGACAATATTTCTAGGCCAGGCATGGTGGCTCATGCCTGTAATCCTAGCACTCTGGGAGGGCTACGCGAGCAGATTGCTCGAGGTCAGGAGTTTGAAACCAGCCTGAGCAAGAGTGAGACCCTGTCTCTACTATAAATAGAAAGAAATTAATTGGCCAACTAATATATATAGAAAAAGCTGGGCATGGTGGCACATGCCTGTAGTCCCAGCTACTCGGGAGGTTGAGGCAGTAGGAGCGCTTGAACCCAGGAGTTTGAGGTTGCTGTGAGCTAGACTGACGCCACGACACTCACTCTAGCCTGGGCAACAAAGCAAGACTCTGTCTCAAAAAAAAAATTAATTAAAAAAATAAAAAGAATAACGACAATATTTCTCTATGAATACAAATAAATATTTATGAATATTCACAAAACAATGGTACAAAAATTAACATTCGAATATTTATCTAGAAAGTCAATTTATTTCTAAACTTGTTCTACTGCATGTTATTTTGTTACTAAGATATATGTTGATGCTGATACAGAGAAACTATGCATTTTCAGACATTAAAATTTTTTAGTTAGTATTCTATCATTAATTTAATTTCTGGACATTTGATTATGAATTAGATTATTTATTATTCATTAAAATGAGATAATTCATATTTGACATGTTTTAGTTACTTAACATTTATTTTAAAAATCTTGGTAAAAAAATCAGATGTAACAAAATGACAACTACATAATCATTCTGAATAAGATAATAGGCTCTTGTAAATAAAAAATAATAATTAAAAAAATTTAGATTTGAGTATTTTTTCCCCTCTAGTGTTGTTTTAAGTAGAAGTTGCTTCTACTCAATTTTCAGGGAGAGAGATAGAATAATTCTCCACCTGTCATGGCTCTTCAATTACAAATGATCATAGGGGATCAGATGAAAGAAGTAGCTTCACTGAACACCCGCACGAGTGGGCCAACAGAGGAAAAGAGAGCTTTCAAAAACCATTGCTAGCTGAATGTCTCCAGTGGGTTATCTCCTTGGAAATTCACTGCCTTGGGGGTGGAAGGAAGAATAGGATACCTTTCTGTTTGATAGCTTTGCTTCCTAGTGTGAGCAGGAAGCTGTTTAAAGCTAAATAAAAACTACAGAGGCAGAGGTATGTAATTTATGTGAGAGTAAAATTGTAATTAGCTATAGAAACTTGAAAGCTAACTGTGTATACTTTTTGAATGGCTGTATTTTATATTGGCATCCACTTTAAAAATTCATAGAAATGATGGTGTGTAATTGAAAAGTACTATTTGAACAGAATAAACGAAATTCTCAATAGCTGGATATAGTCCTTAGGGGTTTTGTCTTATTTCATAAATTTAATTTGAGCAAGGAAGAATTCCTATTGGTAAAATTGATTTAAAAGCACAAATATAGCCTGTGGTGAAAGATAGGTACATGTAATACAAAATATAACACTAGTAAAGGAGGAAAGAATGCTTAGTATATACTGACAATTGAGAGCATAGTCAAAATATAATAGTATTTGTCAGGATTTTGCATATAGTTTTGAGCTACTGGTGCAAACATCAAAGTATAACAACTGAGAACATTGGCATAGGTGAACTCCGTGTTAATACTTTATATACTTATTCACAAATGTTCAATTCCTACATTTAGTTCTAAAATCATTTTAATCTGAAATGACATTCTTTAGAAGGCATTTTTAGCCAGATTACCTATATTTACATATTTTTATTTGTAAATTTTTATTTTGTATTCCTTGATGTTAGATCTGTGTTTCCAACAGGAAATCTATAAAACATATGTGAAAGAATATAAATGTAATCACATTTTCCTTCCTAGTTAGCACTGGTTCACAGTTGTGTGTGTGTGTGTGTGTGTGTTTAAATACAAATGATTCATATTCTACTTTGGTGGGTTTCTTTATGCTTCGAAGATGACCTAAGGTAGAATACAATGTGATATTTAAATTTGGTAACTGTTACTCTGAATAATTGCACTTAAACTGTAGTGGAATTAAGTAATATTTTCTGCCAGAAAATATTTCCAACATAATTCAATTGCAATGTGAACACAGGGTTCATTTGATTATCAGAGACACTTCTACTCTGATGCTGTAGTAATATTGCTTCATCTTCTTATTGGAAAATATTTTTGAAGTAAGAAAAAGATAATTTGAAATGTATCTTACCAAACTAATGGGCACATAAATCCTAGCTAGAGGTTGAATTTTGAAAACAATCCTTTTGTGGTTAGTGTGATGTTTTAAAGAATTTATTTGGATTTCAAAAATCAGTAAATGAATGTAAATTGACAGTACGAGTTTTGGAATCAAATTATTTAGATTTTATTTTAGTATCTCCAATAATTTTTGTAGATTCTTAGAAAGAGGAGATAGTTAATATTTCATAGCCCATTTCTTCATTTGTGCATAGGAGATAATAGTATTATTTACTAATATTAGAGTATACTTGAATCCTTAGTTATTGGCTCAAAATAGAAAGTGAAACTTTTCTTGCCAAGAAATTCTGCCAGAGACTTCTGGGAATGCTAGACTCTTCATTTCATCAAAAAATATAAACCTAAAAATTGAAAATCATTTTCTGTCCTTTTTTCTTTTCCTGTACTGGATTTGATTATGTGAGGACATGATACCTGAAGCTACACCAGCTATCTTATAACTGTGAGGTGGCAAACCTATAGATCGAATTCAATACTTGGAAGATTTTACAGTGGAAAGATCCTGTGTTCTTAATATTCACCTCTGAAACCAGCTCTAAAACTATCTACATATTGTGACCAATTAAAAAATATGAAATATAATTATATTCAGCCATAGCTGGATGGTTAATATCATACTAACACTTCTGTTTATAATATATATAAAATTTGTATAAGATACAGAGAGATTTTTAATATATCAGAGAGATACAAAAGCATCTACAACTTTAGGGTCTAAGATCCCAGAAAAAAAGAAAACAATGAGGATCTACTCATGTTGCTTTTTCTCTATGGAAGTTTACAGATAAATATCAAGTACAAGGCTACAAAATACTTTAAGAATCAATACTTTACAGAAAAAAAGGAAATTTAGATAAATGGGCCAAATATTCTGTGCATGATTCTACCTCTAGGCAATTACTAATTTTTAATCTCCGTGTGGACCATGCTCAGAAGCTGAAAAACGAAACAGAAAGTGTTATGAGTTAAAGTTGTAAATTTGACCATTTGCCAGTGTTGAGAAGTCAGCAATTGAAGTTATGATTCTGTCAATAAAAAGTGAAACTGGTAAAAAAGAACTTCTGATTTTCAGTTAAAAACAAAAAAGCGTAACTGTTAGGATTAAGGGCAAAGTGGAGATACATAAGTCATCATAAAAAACCGGTAAGGCAGCCTCGAAGTATTTCAGTCATTATTGGATCAAGCTCATCTATCCATATCTCCTGCCTACAATAAGAAAAGTAATCCTCTCTGAAGGAAAATAGTATCATCCATAGATTCTAAAACTTTTAATCACAACACTTCACATTTAATATAAAATTATCAGACATATTATAACAAGAAGGTAAAACAATGAAAACCAAGAGAAGAGAAAGAAACAAACAAAGCACACAGTGATCCAGATATTAGTGTTAGAGGATGTGGGTTTTAATAAAACAATGACTAATATGTATACAGAAAAAATGAATTGTCATCTACGAGAGGGAAATACATCAAAATTATTTGAAAACAGGAAAATATAATCACTGAAATAATTTAATATATGTGATAAAGGTAACTAGGTATAGGAGGGAAGAAGATTAGTATTCTGAAAGATAAATCAGTGTAAAATCTAAATAATACTAATATTAATAATAATCTAATAGAACATAAATCATTGTAAAATCTAAATAATACTAATCTAAATTGAAGTACATACAAAATGGGGCCAATAGATACAAGAAATAAACCATGAAATGCAATATGGGTCATAGAAAAACTATTAAGGTATATCCAATTCAACTGTCACAATTAAAGTTAAAAGGAATAAGGCAGAAACTACATTGGAAGAACGATATTGCTTAAGAATTTTCCCAAACTGCAGATGATATCAAGCCACAAATTCAAGAGTTGCTATAAATACCAAAAAGGATTTAAAAAACAAATTAAAGGACTATGAATACTTCAGTACAACTGTTGAACACCAAAGGAAAGGGGTAAAATGTTCAAAGCAACAACAAAAACAATAACAAGGACACATTTCTTTAAAAGGAGCAGCAATTAGTATAACAATTGACTTCTCATAACAAACAATGGAAAATGAATGACACTGGAATAACACCTATACAGTATAGGAAGAAAATAACTATCAATCTAGATAGAACTTAATACACAGTAAAAATACACTAAAAAAAAAAAAACTAATTTATCCAAAGGGAAGATAAAAACATTTCTCAATTTGTATCCACTTATTACAATAGCCTTAAACCATATAAAGCAAAACTGGTATAATTAAAAAGAAAAATACTTGCATTCATAATTGAAGCTGAATATCTCATACCAAATGGGAGAGATATAAAACATGTGAACCATACAACTAACAAAATTTACCTAATTGGCTTAAATAGAACATAGTATCCAACAACTACAAAATACATGATTCTTTCAAACTTCAAAAAAGTCATATAAAGAACTCTTGCAAATAAATAAGAAAAAGAAAGACAACCAATACAAAATGGGGAAATACTGAAACAGATACTTCACAGAAGGGAGAAGCAAAATGCCAGTTATCATACAAAAACATAGCTTTTCTTTTGTTTTGTTTTGTTTTCTTTTTTTTTTTAGAGACACAGTCTCACTCTGTTGCCTCAGCTAGAGTGAGTGCCGTGGCATCAGCCTAGCTCACAGCAACCTTAAACTCCAGCAATCTTCCTGCCCCAGCCTTCCAGGTAGCTGGGACTACAGGCATGCGCACACCATGCATGGCTAATTTTTTCTATTTTTAATTGTTTGGCCAATTTCTTTCTATTTATTGTAGAGATGGGGGTCTCACTCTTGCTCAGGCTGGTCTCCAACTCCGTAGCTCAAACAATCCTTCTGCCTCGGCCTCCCAGAGTGATAGAATTACAGGCAAGAGCCACTGCACCCGGCCACAGCTTTTCAATTATTAAGAAAATTCAAAACAAATACACAATGAAGTTCCATTACACAATCTCTAAAATGTCTAAGTTAAAAGTACTGATGTTAAAAAAAGATAAAAAGACATCGTGGAACAAATAGAACTTTACTGATAGGAGGGTAAAATTGGCAAAAAAAAAAACCACACAAAAAACACTTCTGAAAACCGTTTCACATTACCTGCTAAAGCTGAATGTATATTTTTATGTATGTATACACGCACTAAAATTCAGTAATTCCATCCATATGTATATATTTAACACAACTATACCTATGTACATTGAAAACATATATATAAATATGTAAATAGTATTAGCAATATCCCCAAAGGATAAGTAACCCAATGCCCATCAAAAGTAGAATGGACACTGTACTACTTCTATAGAATGGCATATTATATACAATATAGTGAACAAATGTCTGGTACATGCATGAACATAAATAGATTTCTTAGATAATATATTGAATGAAAGAAGCTAGAGACAAAAGAAAACAGAGTTCTTTATTTCATTTGTAAAATGTTCAAAACTAATTAGACAAAACTAATATAATTTTTCAATTGTACTTGATGAAAAATTCAAAATTGAGTTTATCTTTTGAAGGTTACAGCAGGGTGGGCACCTAAAAGAAGCTTTAGGAAAGTGGGTAATATGCTATATTTTGACTGCAGTATGCAGATATATTCATTTAGGTAAAAATGTATCAAGCTGTAGAGTCAAGATTCATGTATTTTACTTATATACATATTATTCTTCAATTATTGCCAATGAAATGACTGTAATTTTATTGTAATGTATATTCATACCTTTCTAGAATATATATATGTATATATTGATAGCATATTAGTAGCAATTATATTGTGTGTAGTGAATGTCGAATCCTGAAAATCATATTGTAATGTGAGTGACATGTTTATGTCTTTATTTTAGAAAGGTAATCAAATCTTTGGTGTATAGAATAGACTGTATGGTAGAATTTTGCTAGCAGAAGGATTACCTTGTAATTGGCCTCATTGTATGCTTAATCATTTCCTTGTAAAGTTGGCAGTGAGTTCCTCTTGGTTTGGAATAAAACATTGTTTTATTATACATTTTCAGTGCCCCTCAGCCAAAGGATTATCCAGGAGCTCCTATAGTTGAACAAATTAAATGTATCACTTATAGCAGTAAGGGAGAGCATACACCATAGAGAACCATGGGACATCACAGAAGGAGGTTCTTAAAAAGAACCTGTTGTAGGATTTTTAATTTGGTTGGTTAATTTTGAGGATTGTTCTGAATTAGGTAGTGTCAGAAAGTGGGGACAATTTTATGACTGGATATCTCAATAAATCTTATCTATAAGGAGGTACAAATAAGAATGAAGCTGTGATTATATAAGAAGTAGCAGTCATTCATTTATTGAAAGAAAATAATCTTTAATATGCTATGGCCTGCACAATGAGCTCATTTTTGTCTCGTTTTATCATGTCTCAGAGTGACCTCATTTGATATAGATGTTTATGATATTGTTTATTTACCACCAGAGAACAGTATGATTTAGCTTTAAACTTCATATCATTTTGGAATAACATTGAAGTCTAGTTGTGCATGCTGGATAAGTTCATAATAATAATAATATTTTAACATTGACGTCTAACTGTAGGAGGCCAGATCAGTTCTCTGACAACAGAAGCTCTTATTTCTTTCTCAGCATCAATATTATCCCATACCAGTTCCTAGTTTTCCTAGAGTCACATTAACTTATCCAATTCATTAGAGAGTAAAAATAAACTCATATGTCTAGCAAGATAAAGAAGAGGGAAAAGGGTTCAGGAAGAGGTCAGTTATGACAGAAAAAAACAGTACAAATATATCAAGTTATAAGAACTGACATAATATTGATATACACATAAAGATATAATGAGAAAAAATAATTCTGTCTGCATACTCCACCTTACATAAAAAATGGGGCCAATATTTCATTGCTAAAGAATAATTGAAAGAAAATATACTGTATCCTTCCACAGAAATCCAGAATGTGCTTAGAGAGGTAGACACAGAAGCAATTGACCAGGGAAAGAAAAAAATATTCTCAAGATAGAATTGCTTATGTAGGGAAACTCACTTTGGGAAATGGGGCTTCTATCTTGGCTCCACTTTAGCATAACAACTAATCAAACTAAACGTATGCAGTATAAGACTGTATGGATTTGGACAACCTAATATAGGAGTAATCTTTGTAGATTAAAGAGCAGAGGGAATTTTTCAACTGTTTGATTCTTTTAAATCTGTTATCTTTACAAGAAGCAATAGAAGGCACGAGGATAACTGAGATTAATATTTTTACCATGAAGTGGTGTTTTAAAGTTTGATTAAATATATTTTAGAAAAGTAGGGTTGTATTTCTTTAGAAAAATAAAGTGTTTATTTTACTTTAGTATGACTGACAAATAAAATCTGTAACCAATATATGCTTATTATTCTTTAGCACAGAAATAGTAAAAATATGCAAAAATTGAATGTTCTGTCAGTAAAAACATTATTAGAAACATTTCTAAGGTTTCTACCACTGTTATTTAAGACTGGTATCATATCAGTATCCAGCCTTTTCTATGTCATGGTTTACTCCTCTAAATCCTTTGAATTTCACTTATCTTAGCAAAGAGCCATTGATGAGAGGCACAAAGTTTATATTAAAATAGTAGATTGCCAGTCATTTTAACTGTGGGTGGGTGAAATTGATTTTAAACTTAGATGACTAATTGTGGTCTTGGTGACAGAGTGAGTGAGACAAACAGAGAAAAATGCCAATATCAGATTTAGAAAAGATTGATGTATTCAAAGTCCTGGTCTTTAAAGCTGCTAACTTGAAGGATCCTGCTGTTGACAAGAAAAGGCTTTTAGCACTATTGTCACAGGGATGGGACTTGTTAGGGAAAGTGTGTCAATAAGAAAAGCTGCACAAATCACGGATATTTAATGCTTTATAACTTTGTAAAATATAAGCAAATCAGAAATAGAGTAAATGGAAATGTTGAGTATATCGTTTATACTTTTAATATATTTTATTTTAGATTAAAAAGTTTTAATTATAATGAATAAAACATTGATTCTAAAATAAAACAACACAGAATATTGATATAACATTGTGAACTGAGTAGAATCGTGTCCTTCAAAATGGTATGTAAATCTGGAACCTCATAATACTACTTTATTTGGAACAAGGGGTTTTACAGATATAATTAGGTAAAGGGTCTTGAGTGAGACCATCCTGCATTAGGTTCAGCTCTACATTCAATAATGTATTCTGATAAGAGAGAAAAAAAGAAGGGACACAGGGGAGAGGGCCCTGTGAAAACAGCCAGGGATTAGAGTTATGCTACCTCAAGCTAAGGAACTCTAGCAGCCACCAGAAGTTGTAAGAGGCAAAGAAGTGTTCTTCCCTAGAGCTTTCAGAGGGAGCATGACTCTGCTGGCATCTCGATGTCAGACTTCTGGCTCCAAGAACTGTGAGAGAATAAATATCTGCTGTCTTAAGTCACTAGGTCTGTGATAATTTGTTATAGCAGCCCTTGGAAACTAAAACACAGTATGAAACTATAAACTATCCTATAGTGTTTTAGTTAACAATTAAGCACAAAGCTATTGCATCATGTGTCTTTCATTCTAGAACACAGTGTATTCAAAGAACAGAAAATATTTAGACTTAAAAAAATGGATTTAAAAAGATTAGTGTAGAATATTTTGCATTAAAATCCATTGGCTCTATTTATAGTGGCTTCTAATGACTGCCTTGTAAATAGAAATAGAAATATTATTTGATATCCCAGATAAGAGGCTCTTCTAAAGAATAATAGAGTTTTTGTTTTTATTCTGTTTTGTTTTCTGATATTTGTTTTTGCTTTTTTTAAAATTCAGAATAGTATGGAAGTACAAATGCTTTGGTCACATAAATTGGTTTTGTACTACCAGAGCCAAAGCTACAAGCATGCCCATCCCCCAGACAGCAATCACTGTACCTCTTAGGTGTGAATTTGCCAATCCTTCCAATCCCTTCCCACCTGCCAGATACACTGTGAATATTACTTCCACATGCACAAATAAGTCGTGATCAACTAGTTCCAATTTAATGGTGAGTACATGTGGTGTTTGTTTTTCCCTTCTTGTGATACTTCACTTAGAAGAATAGGCTCCAGCTCCATGCAGGATAATATTAATACAAGAGGTATTATTTTCCCATTTTTTTTTATGGTTGAGTAGTACACCATGGTATACATATACCACATTTTATTACTCCACTCATGTATTGATGAACACTTGTGTTGTTTCCACATCTTTGCAATTGGGAATTGTGCTGCTATAAACATTTGAGTGCAGATGTCTTTTTTATAGAATGAATTTTTTTCCTTTGAGTAAATACCCAGTGATGGGATTCCTGGATCAAATGGTAATTCTACTTGTAGTTGTTTGAGGTATCTCCATACTACTTTCTGTTGAGGTTGCAGTAGTTTGCAGTCCCACCAGCAGTGTATGAGTGTTTCTATCTCTCCACATCCTTACCAACATTTGTTGTTTTTGGACTTTTTGAGAAAAGCCATTCTTACTTGAGTTAAGTGATATCTCACGGTGGTTTTGATTTGCATTCCCCTGATGATTAGAGGTGTCAAACATTTTTTAGGTTTGCTGGCCATTAATCTATCTTCTTTTGAAAAGTTTCTGTTCATGTACTTTGGCCACATTTTAATGGGGTTGTTTGATTTTTTTCTTGCTGATTTGCCTGAGTTCTTTATAGATTCTATAAAGAATCTATAAAGAATCTATATTCTCCAGCCCTTTATTGGATGTATAGCATGCAAATATTCTATCACATTCTGTAGGTTGTCTATTTGCTGTAAAGATAATTTCCTTGCCTGTGCAGAAGCTTTTTAATTTGACGAGGTCCCATTTACTTATTTTTGTTGCTATTGTGATTACTTTTGGGGTCTTCCTTATAGAAGGTTTCCATGAAACCAGTCCCTGGTGCCAAAAAGGTTGGGAACAGCTGCTGTTGTACAGCAGCTGTCTCAATTTGCTCTTCTAAAATTTTCTCTTCAGTCTACTTAAATCAACTTTTGTATCTCACACGTAATGATAGTCACTATCATCCAAGTAACTATGACATCCACGTTGCTAAATACAACAGTCAGTTCTCAATTTTTACTTTGTTAACTATCAGAAATATTAATAACCTCCCATATATATATTTTAAATTTGAGACATTACACTTTTAAATTTTCTCTTCCATAATGAGTCTTACTCAATCTCTTTTGCTCATTCTTTTACTTCTTCTCTATTTATTAAAGTTTGAGAACCTAGGGGACAATTCTTGTAACTCTTTTTTAAATATATCTGCTTGCTATATTGATTATCTCATTGTGTTTTATGTCTTTAAACACCATCTCTATGCTATTGACAACATGATTTTATCTGTAGCAAAGACTTCTCACCCATCTCTATACTCATATACTCAAATACCTACTCAACAAATTCACTGTAAAATCTAATAGATATCTCAATGTCAACATATCTGAAGCTGAATGTTAGATTTTCCAACAAAATTCACCTGCACACATATTTTTTCTATCTCAATTTATGGTAACTCCATCCTTTCAGGCAAAATCCTTTCAGTCATCCTTGGCTATTCCCTTGACCTCAAAATGAATTAATCAGAAAATCTTGTAGACTCTACTGTCCAAATTTATGTGAAATCTAACCACTTGTTACAATTTTTATTCTCTTCAAGGTACTATACTGTCTTGCATGAATTACTATCATAGCCTCACAGAATTTTTCTCCTTCTTCTTACCTCCATCCTCATAGTACATGAAACAATTAGTACGATACTTTTAAACCATAGACCATGTATTACTCAGGACTCAATGATTCTATATTTCACTTCTAATAAGTTTCAAAATCCTTAAAATTTTCTACATTCCCTATATGCTATGAACACAAACTTCTGACTTTATTTAACCACTCCCCCCAGCTTCCTTTCTGTTGTCTGATTTTACCAGGTGCACATAGGTCTTAGAGAATCTAAACAACTGTTCCCTTTGCCTGGAATGCCAACTCCTTCATTCCCTTCAAACTTTGCTCAAATCTTTC